TATTCATTAAGACCATCAGAATATGTATTTATAAATGGCCCAGACATCTTTTTCCTTGCTGATTGGCCACGGTTTCGCACACCACAGATTATTTTTATTGAGAAGCAACTAAATAGGATAAACGTGAAAATTCGAAATGTGTCAGCAGTAAATGTGTCAAATCGAAATCTTAACATAGATTTTCCTCTCTAAGCCCAAATTTGAATTATACAGAGTCTTAAATAGACGGTTAACAACTAATGAAGTAGCCACAGATGCTTCAGTAATAGATGAAAAGGCAGAAGTAGGTATTTACTCCCCTTCATTTGGCTGGTCGTTTTTTCTAACACTACCAGGCTTTACACCTGTCTTTGAAGCTAAACTCTTGGCAATTATTCTAGTACTATGCAAACTAAACAAGCATACTGCTATAATAATTACAGACTCCCTGTCTGCAGTATGTACGTCGCTTAGCTTCATTTAAATCAAGATACCTTAAGGGGGCCCTGAAACACTTTTTCAAGTAACCATGGAATGAATTCACTGGAAGAGCTTATTGCCTCACAAATTCAATGCCGCAAAAGCTTTAAAAATCCGTCCAGTGCGAGTGGAGTTACAAAGCTTTGTTGGATGCTGCAATTGCATTCTCTCTTCTCTCGTCCCGACGAAAGGGGTGGAAGCTAAGCAGGGAGGAATGGCAGGGCCACAGAAAAACGTCTCGCGCTCTTTGCGACCTTGAGCACTCTTTTTCTTTTTTTCTCCGAATACGCGGCTTTTTCAGTGTGATCGCACACACACACGTGGACAAGTAGCAGCCTCCCGCGGCGATCTCTGTAACGAGCGAGCACGCCATGTTCCAATCAGCCAATGGCTGATAGATGGGTCGTTGTCGTTTGATTTTTGGGCGTACAACGTCATTTGTCGAGAGAAGAGAAAGCAATTTTTAGCTGACTTTGATAATTTATTGTCAATTCCAGGTTACGTGCTGCGCTATAATATTTGGCTAGCGTATTGTCGGGAGCCTCTAATACCGATCAGCAGCATTTTCTGACCATGCTCAAAATGTACTCCAGGGCCTCTTTAAGTTCCTTTTGCTAGTTTCCTCCACAGCTGAAGCTCTTGAAATCATTATGGGTACCTGGCCCTTCTGGATTAAAGTTAAATGAAGTGGCAGAGTCATTAGCTCGTGCAGCATTGAATGGCCCAATACTTTTGTTCTTTTGGGAAGTGGCCAGCATAACTTCCATAAGATATAGAAAATTTTCACTCCGCACAGATACCATAGAATCAGTAACATCATAGACAAAATATATACATTTAAAATTTCTGTGGAAAGCCAAGCGGTGTCGTACTAGACCACTAGAAGTCAAACTAACTATACTCTGTTTCACCACTTTGGTTCAGCACTACTAAAGTTAAGGGGCGTAAGAAAGCCACATGCTTGCGCAGGGAAACGCAGTTCCACATACAAGCGCCTTAAAATTAGCAGGGCTGGCTAAAATTGGTGTTTCTTTTATGTGTATTACGCCAAATCGATACACGATGTGTTTATTCTTTTTTGCATTTTTTTTACATATTTATTTACCTGTGTCAGATACTGCCGATAGTTTGTGTTTCGGCAGTACCTGACATGGCAGCACCCATGCAGAAGTGACTGCCCGCTTCGATCCAAACTTGCTCTTGCTACACACCCACTGCGCTGACAGCAGTAAACAAATAGTGAAATCAGCCATCGATTTGTTTCATCGCACTCTGGCACTAAAGCATCAGGTGCGCTTTGTCAATATTAACGAGATATGCTGCTGGCTTAGCCGCATCTACTAAGCTTAACGCACCGAGGCAGTGGTCAGACTACGTCGTCAGACCAAAAACGCTGCACCTCCAAATATCGGACATGCAACCTCGCACAGCATTCCATGCGCGTCGGATCCTCCTTCGATGGAAACAAAGAGAGAAAAAGAGCGTCGCAGTGGGAGACGCGAGGGAATGCGTCGACTGAGAAAAAGCCACAAAGTGAAGTTATCCGCCGGCATAAGATTCTACCGATCTTCATTCAGCAGAGCAACTCATTCACGCTTCCTCAAAATTCTGGTGTAGTTGCTTATTTAATAGCTTTACTGCATTTTTAAGCTAATAAACTAGCCATATTAACTACAATCTGTTGAGCAGACGTCGTGAATACGGTGAGCAGACAACATGGCGCAAATGAATACATATTGGCCGAGGGACCTGTAGCCTCCATAGTGCTGAAGAGAATTTCTGAAATAGAGTATTGATTATGGTGTCGTGTGTCTCCATTGAAGCTAAATTCACACAGGGCTGGTCTGCCGATATCTTCCCCATGTAACTTTTGTTCAGAAATGGAATCAATAAAGCACTACTTTTTGTCATGTCGCCGTTACAGATTGTTAAGAAAGCAACTCCTTGTTATCCCGTTCGCTAACATAGGGCTGACCATCACCATTGACAGTACACTTGCCTTTGGTGCTTTGGCACTGGGCTTCAGCCACAGCCTTTGATGCCGTTTGCAGTTAACTTCATGAAACAAAACAAACACGTCTCTAAATACCTATTTGTATATTTATTATTATAGCATCAATGAGCAAATTTTAAAAATGTTCAATATTACTGTAATTTATATTCTAGATATAGACTATACTGTCTGGTTGGAATGGTAAAAGGCAATTATATCACTTTTTCTACTTTTAAGCACGTTCTTTCCTCTTTCTGTTAGAGTTATTACTTGAAAGGCCTGAAAATTCGTATAACCAATTCTAGGCCGATCTCCCTGAGTGGGTATGAGCAATAGTTGAGGCATTATCATCATCGGGATTCCCTCGCCAGCAACCAACTAGAAGTTTTGAGAAGTACTACTCAAGACTTACTTTAACAGTAAAACTACAGGTTCAACACAAGGCAAGATTTATTTGAGACACAGATGCCGCAATCAAATAAAATACTGCATGCAAAGCTTGCGGGCATAGTGTTGATGTTTGTCACTCAACGGGAGCCCGCAAAAGGTTAGCGTTTGACATCAGTGTTGGGCTGATGGTTATCTAACACGAAATCATTCACAGTTGCCTTCTGACAGAATAAAGCTTTACCATCATCGCAGTCTTAGGCACACAAAAGACCCAATGCGTCTTGGTAGTTTTCAGCTGCTCGTGCTGCCGTCACCAGTAGCGAACACGAAATTGGTTGACTCCAAGGTGCTTACCGGCAGTCCTGCTGCTATTGTTTAGCACATGATCAATCACTTTCAACTGGAAAGTGGCTGTGTAGCTTCTGCATCGCCACATAGTGTGACCACAGAACAGAAACAACGTACACTCTCCTAGAACACACAGTTGCCACTTTGGCTTGGCTTAGATTAGATTAGGGCTCCATGCGTTGATAGTACACATGATGCTTCAGAGATGGCTCCAGGCTATCATGCACTATCATCATCAGTGGTGGGGAGATTGGAAGGAGCAGAGGACATCGGTGCTGCACTTTCTGGGAATGGGATAATTACTCGCAAGGGTGAAAAAAAAAATCTAATTTTGGCTGGGCAATGCGGTGGGTGCGAGAATCACGTGAGTAAATGCTGCACTTTATTTTCATCTCATTTTTTTCATGTCTCCCAGTTACGCCACCGACTGCAACACAGGAACGGGTGCCCAAGACCTGTGCTCCAAAAAGCAGTGATGAATGGCAGCATAGCGCATTCAGGTTGTGACCCATAAAAAGCATGCAGTCTTATAACTGTGCACCACATCTTGGCCTGAATATACTTATCGTAGCAGATAAGCGCCCCGCCGCGGTGGTCTAGTGGCTAAGGTACTCGGCTGCTGATTTACAGGTCGCGGGATCAAATCCCGGCTGTGGCGGCTGCATTTCCAATGGAGGTGGAAATGTTGTAGGCCCGTGTGCTCAGATTTGGGTGCACGTTAAAGGACCTCAGGTGGTCGAAATTTCCGGAGCCCTCCACTACGGCGTCTCTCATAATCATATAGTGGTTTTGGGACGTTAAACCCCACATATCAATCATAACACATAGGCTGGTGTGAATTGTGAATTTTAGATTCAAAATGAATTTAAAAAGGTAACGATTTTGGTCGAATACCTTTCAATCGAATTCCAATAGTATACATCACATATTGTAAAGTCATATCATAGCATACTTGTCAAGACTCAACTAACCTGTAAAGTACTTTTTTCTTTTTAACTGAAACAAGGGCTGTGCAAATGCCATTTCTTTGTTTAAAAAAAAGTGAAAACTGCTTTGAAGTGCGATTCGACTATCAGCAGAATGCAAGTGATAAACTGTAAAATATGCTACATTTTAAAATTTACAATACTTTGAGCATATAAGCCGATTTAACAAGCTTTTTAACATTAAGAATGATGAATCGATGTGAGGGTAGTATGTTCATTTAACTTGGCGGCAGTGCAGATTTTTCTTTAATAGGTGTTTTCACAAATTAGCACTTCACTGCAGTGCAACCGCCTTTAAAGGAGGTTTTGAAAATTTTCAATAATTTAAATTTCAATCAAAGTGACTTGAAATGCTGCCATATTCATTTGAATAATATTCACACAAGCCTAGTGATAGGGCTTTCAGCAGTGAAATTGCACCAGTGTGGTTGCTGCCATCATGCTTCCATGCATGTTCAGTGCCATCCGCAATGGCACTGCACCATGACAGCTGCTCTTCATATTTTTGGTATGCTACACCTCATAACACTTTTGGATTGCAGCAAACTTTTAAAATTTGCCTCAGCCAAAAACAGATCAACTCACAAAGGCCTGCAGGATGATCAATGCAGAAGTGATGGCAACTTCAATTAGCGCCATTTCTGATATGGAACTTGAGCAAAATGTATGACACATTCAGAAATTCTTATACATTGACTTTGAGAGGCCTGTGACCGTGTTGCAAAAGTGTCCCAATTTTGAAGATGTCCCAAAAAAATCTGTAGTTGATTGTAGTAGCCCTGCTTTGCCCCACCAAGGATCAATTTCCAAGACAATGCAACACCTGCAGACCACAAAAAAACTTTTATTGAGTTTTAGAAAATGGCTCTCCTTGCCTGCAGCAACTTATTTTAATGCATTATATATATTCAGCAGTCACTGCATGTCAGTCAAGGTAAAAAAATAGGCAGGCACCCACATCTGTAATGGTGCAAAATAAAGGGATCTTGAGCAGGCTTGGCCTCGAAATAAGCTGCTACCAAAGCACCCACTGCACTACAACAAAGCCGTGGAATGTTGGTGGCTAGCCAGGCAATGCCAACACATTTTTGGCCACACCCATACAAACACTGCTGTGTCTCAACCTAAAAAGGGAGGCCATCACAGGAGCAAGTGACTTGGAGCGTCTGAGGAGTATGCGCCACCACTTGCCCGAATGACTGACATAACAGCCATTGTGAAGATGGCTATAGGTCAAAGACCACTGGCAACAATTATACCAAGGTGGCACTTGAGAAATCACCCAAACCTTGCACATTTAGTCTCTCACACACATTGGGAAAGGCTTGAAGAGGTCACATCCCACTCCTGTAACGACAATCATCACGGCAAGCCTCTGACTGCCGGAGACCGAGTGTCCACACGAGGTCTATGGTCCCTGAAGGCTTTGTGCCAGCAGTGCTGCCAAGGCCTGGTCACTATTCCCACTGGCCTGCCTCAGGGCAGCAACCACTTTGGCCCTCTCAAAGCCCATGGCAACCAGCCGGTCTATTGTGTCAGCCGGAAACTCCTCACCTGCACAAATGCATTCTTCAGTCAGCCACTATGTTATTCGAGCAGTTAGCTTGAGGTTTTACTTCGCTTGAAAGGTCGAGCGAAAGGCACAATACGGAGCACACTGGAAGGATAGATAACATGCTCAATCTTGCATTTTTTTCCTCTATATGCATCATTTCCTTAGTTTTCACTATTGTGCCTTTGGATTGAGTGAAACATTACAAACCCTGTGCAAATGTAATCATTCAATCTGATAGGTCACCAAGCAGGCTCACTCACCAATGCACTATACATGCAGGCTATACGTACGCTGCAAGCTACAGTAAGTAAACATTGAGGATGCTTTGCTTGTGGGCATAGAATGCAACGTCATAATCATGCTCTTTTTCGCACCGCCTTCTCGCACACTTGGCTCTCGTAGGAGAGTACTGTGAGGAATGTCTATGCACAAGACATTGGCTAGGGTGCCTATCGCTAACACAGTTGCTACATGGCCACTACACAAGGCTGATCATGTTGTGCATGTGTCGAAGAAGAGTGGGTTTATATTAGCCTGTTTTCTCAAGGAATAAACAGTTGTAAGTGAGCTACCGTGGTGTCCATAATTGCTTGTTTCTGTGTGTGGTTGCTCTTTCGGCGCGACGAATATTTAATCAAGACCTGCACCAACTAGCCCAACAGCGAGTTCAACTAAAATACACACAACTGCACATGGATCCTGTGTTTGATAATGATCACGAATTGTGATCGAGCACTTTGTAACAGGGTGCTCCTCAAACCAATTGCTTTTTGTACAAGTGATGTGCCTCTACACTTCTGCTACATACTAGGTAGATTTGCTTATGTACCAGATTACCTGTATCATTATTTTTTTTCTCTGAAGCAGTTTGAAGTATTGCTTTGGCTCTTCAACGGAACACCCAAATGCCATGCAGAATGCCTAGGTTCAATTTCGCCTTGCATCAATATTCTTTGCATCAATTGTGAAGTTTTGCTGATAGGAAATGCCACCAATGCTGAAATTTCTTTTATGTGGGATTTTTCATGTTATCGCTATGTTATAGTGTAAAAGTCAGTGCTGTTCGAGGAGCACTGACTTTCACACAAGCATGAGTTGAAGCATGAGTGCCAAACACAACACGACACAATGCTGACTATTTTTGAGAGTGCACTCTTCAGCAAGACATCTTTGAACAGGTCTTTATATGTACTGAGAGCACACACAGACTTAGGTCTGCAAAATAAATGGAGCTCACTCGGACTCCCTCGACATGTTTTTTGCATCGAACTCGCTCGACTGAGACTCACAAAAACTTTGGTGAAATGGACTCACTTGTGCTTGAATTCACCAAAATGTAACTCGGCCAGACTTGATCACAAAAATTTCCCTCAAGTAAGTAAGTGCACACGGCCTCAGATTCACCATATTTTTCCTCAAGCGGACTCACTCAACCATGGACACAAATAACTTTGTCAACAAGACTTGCTTGTGCTCAGACTTGCCAAAAATATTACAGCCAGACTTGCTTCCACTCAGTCTCGCGAATACTTTTGTCAACTGCACTCACTCGGACTCAGACACGCCAAAATATAACCATAGTCCCTATAAAGCTTTTCTGGGAACGAAACTGCCAAACACAGCTAGGGGCACCACAGTAAAAAAAGGCCACCCAGCTGCGCAGCTGCCACAGGCGTCACTTGTATTTTTTTAACGATAGGTTTTTTTGCGATACATTAACGCAGAAAATTCGATCTGTCTTTTTGTTTGTCTGTCTGTCACCCGATTCAATTACCCAGTGAAAGTTTAAGCCCTCGCTCAAAGCCCAGCCATGTTGATCTTGTGGCTGCATTCATACTTATGAACATGTCGATCAAAAAGCAATCATTATGCATATCTGAGGCACAGCATCAACACATAAGTATTAGGGGGTGTGTTTCTTTACTAGGAAACTCATAGACATGTAATTATAAAGGCCCTAGTGTTTCTCGAGCTGTGCTGACAATCGGCACTATGAACGAAAGAGCAGGTGTTTCATAGGATTCGCCAAGACGATATTGGTGCTACCAGTGCTCTGCGTTTGACAAGCATTTTTTCCCTGGTACGTCGCCGCGGAAAGCCTCGTTCCATTTAGACAACATTTGCATTTTATATTGTCGTAGCAGTTAAATAAGCTAAGCTCAGACAAAGAAGTAAACTGTCTCGCATTCAGCTGGCGACTCAGTGTGTCAGCAGACGACGTGCATAGACCTTTTTGTTGCAGCGAAATTTGTCTCAAGTTCGCTTAACAGGCCTCAAATTAAAAAAACTGATGTGGTGTGATGCACTGTACAGAGAAGACACTAGCGGCATTAACATTAAATGCATAACAACCTGAGCTCAAGGTGGTGAACTGTTCTTCCCTAAACTTCCAATTGCACATATGTCGATCCAGCCCGGCGAAGAGTATTTTTATGCAACAGAAAATGTTGTAGGGCATGCGCTTGCATTCGCTGGTAATATATTTGAAATAGCTACAGTAGGATTGGGCATGTTGGTATAACATGATAAAGTAGTGGTTACCGCAAACGACAAGAAGAGATAGAGGAGACGAGACAGAGCACAGACTCTCTTGTCTCTTCTATCCCTTCCTGTCGTTTGCGCTGTTAAGCACTCTTTGAAATAGATACATTGGCAAATCGTAGCAGTCAATGAAACGCTTTCTTGATGAGAACTGCTGTTATGAGGCTATCAAAACTTCACTAGTTTTCATGCGTATCAGTAGAGTGGTGCGACACAGTTTTCTATCACGATTTTTGTTGTCAACATCTCCAATGAAAACTGCATAGAGTATTATGTCTCTTTGATTCCGTATTGCACTTTTTATACCTTTCTCGTATGAGCAGGGCAACAAGGATTAATGCCCGATTGTATTCATTGCTGTACTACCTTCACGAACCGCGACACCTATTTTATTGTAATCGTGGTCCTGCAAAACTTCTGATATAACAGAATTTTCATCTTAACTCAACACTGGGGTTGTGTGGAGATAAAAACACTTCTAATGGTTGTAATTCTGTGGCCTGGAAATTCAAGAATCGCAGGTGCCCTGTCATTACGTGAACTCGCAGTCCCATCGTGTCCCTGAACATGCATGTCCTGCCAGCACGCAGGCACGACAGGAAGGCTTTTATTCCTTATTTATGAGGATGCTCCAATGCCCGCAAGAGCTCTCATTTCCAAGTAGACACTGTGCACACTGTATTTATTTATTTTTATTTATTTATTCCGCGATACCCTGCTTTGCCAATAGGCTTACGCAGGGGTGTTACAGCTTAGAAAAAATATATCTTCGTTATTACAGCACACTTGGTCACAAGACAAACAGTTCCACTGAACTACAGTGGGACAAAAAATTAGCATATAGGTTTGTTTTAGTCAGTATTCTTGAATTTTAAAGGGATGATCGCACTTTCTGGACACATCATGCGGTGGCTTAAGGAGCTTAAGGTCTTTGTTAATGCCAGTCTTTTTGTGGTATATCTGAAATAGCATTTTCAAGCACAATTTCCTCCTGCAAGAAGACAGCACTTCCCATCTCAGCAGTTCATTTCAGTACAGCTGTCGCATCGCTCATACCGCCTTAGAATGAACCTTGCCCCTCGGTTCAGTATTCTCTCAATGGGATAAATCAAAGACATTTGTTGTGAATCCCACACACAACACGCATATTCCGAAATCAGGCAGACGAATGAAATATACATAGTATTTTTTAAAGCAGCAGGTGAAGATCTCCGATTATGCTGAATGAAATTTAGTGCTTTGGCAGCTTTCTCAACCACAGCATGCACATGCGCATTCCAAGAACAGTCGCTCGTAAAGGTTACACCCAGGTACTTATACGTTGGTTGCTGATGAATGACATCGTTCAGAACATGACGCATTTCATCCATTTTCTTTTTTGTAAAAGACACATGAACACATTTTTTAACATTAAGTTGCATTTTACGCTTCTCACACCATTTCATAATTCTAGCAAGGTCAGGCAGCAATTGAATGTGGTCCTGTTCATTTTTTATTTTCATGTATACGACAGTCATCCGCAAATAAACATACTTAAGAGGTTGTCCTGTCGGAAATGTCATTAATGTAAACTAAAAACAGTAGCGGCCTTAAAACGGACCCCTGAGGGACACCTAATGTTACTTCTGCTGTGGACGAAGCGATACCATTTAGAACAACACATGACGCTGTGACTGGTAAGCCATTTTAGAACTTTCTTATCGATCCTTGCCATTTCAAGTTTGTGGAGAAACTGGGGGTGGGATACAGCATCAAACGCTTTTCTGAAATCCAAAAAAAATGCAGTCTGTTTTTCCATTATAGTCCACCTCAGCTACTAAATCGTGGTAGTTCAATCAGTTGCGTTTGTGCAAGAAAGGCCCTTGCAGAAACCATGCTGAACATGGACTAATAATTTGTGTTGTAGTAGGTGTTTCATTATGTCTTTGCACAGTATGTGCTGCAATATCTTGCAGGGAACTTATGATAAAGAAATGAGCTTATAATTGTTTGACTCTTTCTTGGAACCACCTCATCATAAAAGTTTCTCATTTGAGACTTCTCCTCGGCCTCGAGTTCTCTTGGTGGTAGCTCTAGATGTGCCTACAATGCGACATGTTGGCCGTTGCTATCATTACAATTAGGCGGATGGTACGATTTTTTTCTGAGTATCTGACCATATTACCTAACACAAGAATCTTGATTTTCTTTCATTATGCAACTAATGGCCCGTTATCACGGCTGGAAACCCCTCTCGAATTGTTTCAGTGGCTTTTAAACTTCTGCGGTCGTGACTTCAAACTTGTAAAGTATGATGGAAGGACGTTGTAAAGTATGCTAGAAGGACGTTGAACGCATGAAAAATTTCGTTAGGCCTCAAAGCACAACTTGTCTCTCGGCAACCATATGGAAGTCACCGTTTATCGCAAGATCGTCCACATGGATGATGTCCGATGAATCAAAGCACACAGATGTACAT